GTCCAAAAGGGGCATGAAGTTGAGATTTGACTCTCTCCTTGCCGAAGAAACTGAACCTTTGCCCTGCACACCTTCATCACCGAATAAACCATCAGTAGCGCCCAAGTCTTAAGGCGGTTAAAAATTGAGTGTCTACAATGAGTGTTTTTTTTTTTTTTTTTTTTTTTTTTTTTTTTTCGTGTGTTGTATGGTAGTTTCTAATGAGATATCATTTGTGTTATAGGAACAAGGGCCCCTAAAGTGTCATAATCACTCTTCGCAGATCCTTGCATGGCCATGATGGTCAGTAGACAACAACACCAAATTCAAAACTATTATTGAGCAGTCTGGGCTGTCATAGTTAGCTCGTTGCATTTATCGGTTCATCAATAAGCTTCTAATCTCTAGTTTTGTTGAGAGATGGCAACCTGAGACGAACACATTTCACATGACAGTTGGTGAGATGACGTTGACTTTGGATGATGTTGGCAATATTCTTAGCCTTCCCATTGTAGGCAGATTAGTCAGCGTCAGATGTGACGGATCATCATGGAGTTACACTACTAGTTTCTAGCTTGGGGATTACTGAACGTGTAGCACATGAAGAGATTTCTACTGCTGGTAGCAATTCAGTCAGGCTTGAGTGGTTGCGAAGTCAGTTTGCTAGTGTCACAGATTCAAACCCCGAGGAGGCTATACAGTGCGCTGCTAGAGCTTATTTGTTGTTTCTGTTGGGATGTACACTCTTCAGTGACAAGAGTGGCGGCAGGGTTCCTGTTGTTTACCTTAGCTTATTAATGGATTTGGGATCCATTCATACTCACGCCCGGGGTGCTGCTGCATTAGCATTTTTATACAGACAGTTGGGGTATGCTAGCTGGTCCGGGGTTAAGCAGATGGGTGGTTATATGACTTTACCAGGCTATCGAGAGTATGACGCATGTCCTTGAAGGTCAACACATTGACGAAGCTGGACCTAGTTCTGCTGGACCTAGTTATACTGGAGGTCGCTTTTCATCTCTGACATTGACGTATAGTCGTAGGCCTAGGCGTAGGCATACAGCTGATTCGTGACATGTTATTTGTTAGTTGAAGAATTTTTTGTGGTGTTTTTTGTAAGATGATATTGTTGTAATGGTAACAGTGGTTAATATTTTCTTATTATAATGGAATGGCAACAATGGTTGATACCATTGAAAATGACATTTTATTATTAGAATGGAATGGTAACAATGGTCGTTGATTTTGTAAATGATATTTTCTTATTATAATGGAATGGTAACATCAACATCAACATCAAAAACACATCCATTAATTTCTTCCATAATTCTAACATTGTCAAATGCATACATGTGTCATGCGACATCAACAACATCAAATGTCTCTCGAGTAGCTACATTATTATGAATAATGTTCTTGAAATGTTGAATGCGACGCACATATGCATCATCCCAGTCGACAGCGCAAGGGTGACGATATTTTTGCCAATTAGTGGCTATAGGAGGAACTGGATGGCCTAGCTACAACAAAACCTGCACCAAATATCAATTGAGTTAGTGGTCATACCTCATAACTTCTTGTACATGCACAAATGGATAAGTTTCTGTTATACCTGGGCGAAATGATTTCCGTTGACAAACCCAATGGCAATCTCACGTTTATCAAGTTGAGGTACTGGCACTGTTCTAAGAGGTAAAAATGTGAGACATTGCTCTAATGACAAGTGGTATAACACAAGATTGTAGCACGATGCAACAAGATGCCCCATGTCTGGCATAGTCATGCAATGTGAGTATCCAGGACTGTCTTCAAAGTATGACAATATGCTTGTCAATTCTTTAAACCTTTCGTAGGACCCATAAAGTGTAATGTATTCCTCTTTGTGTGTGTGTAGCTCACCTAACAGATCATGCCTAACCTGAGCCCAATCATCTTCTGTATGACCAATTGAAGCAGCTATAGCCCTGAAACCACAATTCCCATCTGCAGCTACATCCTTGACAAACTTAATGTATGGTTTCAATCCAGAAGGGAAAGCATCAACATATGCACCAGGTTTCACTGTTCTAGTAATGTATACCTTCCTTTTCGCATTCACCTTCTCCTTTCCCTTAACAGGTCTCTTCTTCTTGGTTTCCAGAGTAGAAGCTAATGTAGTGATTGTATGGTAGCAAGTGGTATAGAACGATCTTGTCTGATGTAGTCAGCAATCTCATGGGCACAAGGTAAGCCATGAGTGTGGCGAAGGACGCATCCACAAGCTTCAACATCAATACCAATAGAATTGGCTCTCTTACTCTCTACAAGCAAATACTCCAATGCAGAGATAGACATATTACCCCGTAGCTCCCTGAACTGAGAAGGTTTAAATTGATATTGCACAACAGTTAGACTTTTCTCAAATGAAGCCTTGATATCAGTGTGTTGCAACTCAAGCAGACTGTGTATTTTCTCAAATGATGCTTGAAATGAGACTTGACATGAACCCAATTGTCTTTTAAGTTTTGCATGTGCACTCTCAGCCTTGTTCAATTCAACGTAAGTCAAATTAAAATCAAGTACATGGCACTTATTAATAGCATATTGAACAAAAGTAATCTTACCGGTTTGTTGTAACATTGCCACAATGCATATACGTGTCTGTCCATGCCGCCACAAATTTCTCCTTGTAAGGAACCAACTAAGTATCCATGACGTATTTGACTGCATCAGGATAACTACTGAATTCCTTAAGTAATGATTTAAGATGCTCATCATATTGAATTTCAGAAGATGAATACAATAAAGAGTTCCACTCATGGTTGAACTTCTCCCATTTCTGCTGTGTCTCAAACATTTTCTTGCATTGGTCAATACATTCTCACTGATATGCCAATGACATAATAAATGTCTGCTACTCGGGAATATCTTCTGTATGGCATTCATCAAGGCTATCTCTCTGTCAGTAACAATAATTGTTGGCACAACAAAACCATCCATGACATCACGCAATGTAGCTAACACCCACGCATAGTTATCGACCCTCTCATATTGTAAGTATGCGAAAGCTACAGAGAAAGTCATTTTAGTTGATGTCACTCCCACAATTTCAAGAAGAGGAAGACGATATCTGTTCGTTTTATATGTGCAATCCATAATTAATATACGTGGGAAAGACCGAAATAAGTCCAAACTGGTAGGATGTGCCCAAAACAAGTCTGTAACAGTCATCGTGGACTCTTCAGACCGATGGCGCTCAATGTAATTATACTTCATTCATCAAGGCTATCTCTCTGTCAGTAACAATAGTTGTTGGCACAACAAAACCATCCATGACATCACGCAATGTAGCTAACACCCACGCATAGTTATCTACCCTCTCATATTGTAAGTATGCGAAAGCTACAGAGAAATTCATTTCAGTTGATGTCACTCCCACAATTTCAAGAAGAGGAAGACGATATCTGTTGGTTTTATATGTGCAATCCATAATTAATATACGTGGGAAAGACCGAAAGACCGAAATAAGTCCAGAATGTGCCCAAAACAAG